GTATCCTGACTATTCTTTGGTTTGTCGGTCCAGCCATTTTAAGGCCCGGTAATACGTTACCTATTAGTCCTCTGTGTGACACAATTCTATGTGCTGGATCAGGTAGTAATCCTGACAAATACGATATGAACACTACAAGCCTATCATTACAGAGGTCTGCTTCGACAGAACTCCCTCCCTTCTAAAAGTTCATCAAGTACGTCAGTCTCCATTTCTTGCCCTCTGATTCCTTGCTGGTTTTTCTGTATATCGGTCCATACTGACTAAGAATAGGAGGCCATTCGTTAAATTTATTTCTAGGCCTTCTATGCCTTTAGCGTAGAGTTCCCGTGAGGCCAGCACCCATCCTCATTTGGAGGTATGTTTACCCATTGGGCCAAATCATAGTCAGTCGCCTCACTTAGTGGCATAGAGAGGGCCTCACTTGTCACGCCCAGTCTATCTTATGCTCTTTAAGTCAGAGAGGCCGTCACCCCACCACAATGCTCCGTGGCCACAGGGCCAATCGTGCCAACTCATAAAGCCTATCAAGCTGCTTGGCAATTAGCAGGGTGTCATCTGCCATTTCTTCTTATATTATAAGTATAAGGCTATAGTATAAGAGAAGCCTGGCATAACCTCCTAATTTTTATTATAGTATGTCACAACTACCTGAGGACGGGGAAGAACTATTGAACACAAGTACGCCAGCCAGATGAGGGACCTCGTCCCAAGTGGGTGACACCACAAGTCCATTAGCTCTCAGATCCTGGACCATCCCAAGGATCACTTCAGAGCTACAGCCAGGAAAGCCAGGAAATTGTACAAACTATTAAATACCCAGACCGATAACGACGGGGCAGGAGAGGGGTTTAGTAGTGGCCAGTCTTCCGACCTACAGGCTTTTTTTGTCATCAGTTCTATCCCCTTTAGGTTGGATTAATGACAAACTGGATAGTATGGACTCAGGACACCAAACAAGTTTTCCATCAGCTCCAGTTAACCCTAACTCTGCCATTCTCTCGAGCATCCTGTCTGAAATACCCCAATTGGTCGAAAAACCTACACATTATTAATCCAGCACACATGGTGCCGGCCAATATTAAAAAGGACATATTGGAGGGAAAGGATGTGAACCTGGTCTTGCTCCTTATTGCCTCACAAGATGTCCTGAAAAACAACACATACGCATATGGCGACATGTTGGTAGTTTTAAAATCTAGCGATCCCAGACTGAATCGTAAATTGTCTATCCCTGAGTTTGTGCTAGCAAAGGGAAGAATTTCACCTTTACCTTTACAAGCTGGTGGACTTGGGGCACAAGTACGATGGCACGTCATTCTATGACTACCACTGTTCTTTCTCAGCAAGGGCGTCTGCATCACTGGCACAGTTCAACTACAAGGCAGACTGGAGCATCATGGATACAGAACTGTTTTGCAGACAATTTGCAGGCCTCAAGACCCCAGCTTGTTCTATCTGCTCATCTGCTCCCCACACAGTAAACTTATGCCCAAACACCCCGGAAGTGAGTGCTTTCTACCCCAACCCCATCCCGACTACGACATTTGGACAAGACAAGGTTCACAAAGACAAGTTAGGACGATGTATAGTGTTTTTAGGCAGGTCTCAAATTTGTAACAATTTTAATGCAAGCTACTGTGGTTACAGTGCCTGCAGACTGTTACATGTATGCTTCTGGGCCCATGCCAAGACTATGTGCCCTAATAAGCCAAAGCTGTCAATATCTCACTGCTACAGGAATTGTTGTACAACCACCCCCCACCACATCTGGTAAAATTTCGGGTGACTGGGTTTGCGGAAGGATTTCACACGGGTATCATTAATCATCAGGGATAGTCGAATACAGGAACTTACAGAGTGTTCTTGCTAACACTAACACTGTCAGTGAGTTGCTACAAAAGGAAGTAGATCAAGGTTTTGTACTAGGTCCTTTCAGCTCTCCACCTTTCTCGGTATGGAGGAGCAATTCTATAGCTATAGTTACTAGTAAGCATTCTAATAAACAAAGGCTCATCATTGACCTCTCTGCTCCTCACGCTACAACACCTAGTCTTAACTCGCTCATTCTATCTGAAGAATGTTCGATACAATATGCTACCATCGACAACGCTATATAGGCCATTCTGTCAGCAGGAGTGGGAGCCTAGCTTAGCAAGACGGTCAACGCTTTCAAACTCCTCTCACCCTTCCCTATGGCATCTGCATGGTGTTAAGTGGTGTGGATCATGCTATTTCTTCACGTCTCACGTTCGGTTCAAAAAGCAGTCCAAGGATCTTTGATATGTCCGCTGCTTAACATCTGTAGATGCCCTACAGTGATTCACTATCTTGATGACTTTCTGACTGTAGAAAGCAACTTATTTCCACCCAGTAGCCTCCACGCTACTATACAATTGTTTAAACGCTTGGGCGTCCCTGTTGCCCCAACTAAAACTGTAGGCCCCGACACTATTATTAATTTTCTGGGAGTAGCGCTGGACTCGATTTTATTATGCAAGCCAGCCTCCCCTCAGAAAAGATCATGACTTATGCATGTGGAGGGAATTCCTATGTAATTGGAATGGGAAAAGTATATTTATCCCGGTTTTAACTGACAAATCACTTTCAGTCTGGGTGGATGCCACCGCCATATTCAGTAACATTTGGATGTGGGGTAACTGGCCAGATGAAATTAAAGGACCACTATAGTGCCCTGAGGGTGCCCCCAGACAGGGAAATTTCGATAAGATTTTGAGACATCGTGAGTCTAGATGGATATATGAATTAAAGACACTTCAACCTCTAGGCTTGAATGAAGGCTTCTCATTTACCCCTTTCATTTAGCCACGTATATATGGGAGGTTTTTTGTACTAACCTGTGTATACTAACTTACACTAATTTAATTATTAATTATTAATAATAATTTAATAATACTCTATCCAATTCTAATAGGATTTGCTGGTTATGATTGTATTTAATGACCACATATATATTGTGTGAGGCTTACACATTTTATTATCTTTGATTTTTTTTAGTTATGATTAATTTGTTTTCTTTATCTTTCCCTTTCCCCCCTCTTCCCCTCCCCCCATTTCCTCTTTCTTTTCCCTTCTCCCTTTATATGGTTTGTGCTTTAGTTACAGGTTCAATGTGAATTTCTATGAATAGGGAAGTAATGAGTCATGGATTGTATTATTTGAACTTTACTGGGTGGATTGACTTATTACTTTAAAAAGTCAAACCACCAGTACTAGAGCTATTCTTGTTGTGTCGAGTGTATGATACTTGGTAGGGTTTATCCGTGCTACCTCCTTTTTCTAAGTCCACGCGCATGTGCGCAGGACGAGGGACTGGCTGTTGAATACAAACCACTCCCCCCTTTGACGGAGTCTGGATTGATACGCCCCTACCAGCGACCGATTGGTTCCTATTTGTATGGTAGGAGGAGTTATTGGGTTATATAAAGGGGAGATTTTGAGCGGGGTAATGTTATTATATGCCCTTGACAAAGGCGGTTTATCCGCCAAAATGCGCGTTGGGCAATGTCATTGCAGCCTGCGCCTAGCCCTTTAGTCGATTTACTTTATTTATATCTCCTGTACTAAGTAATGTATATGACATTAGTTTAATTGAGATTATTTTGAGACTATCTATTGGAAGGTTTCTTCTTCTTATGCACTGTTTATATCAATTTTGTTTACCTCTCGTCTCACTATCCTTTCGATTTCCTCTATATCCCAATGTATTGTTTATCAAGGAGTATGAAGGATTTAGTGAGTGAGGACTTTTTCTCTTTTTTGTAGTTTATTGAGAGGATTCATTTATTTATTTATTTATTTATTCTGGTGCATAAATAGGGTTAGAGCATAGAAGCATTTTCGGCTCAGTTGCTGTAGTCTGATCTTGACACATTGTATTGTTACATTGTATCTATTTACACTTTGTAACAACTTATAGATTGGAACTTATTACAGATCTATTCAGCACTGTTTGTTTCAGCCATATTCAGTCTGCATTCTTCTTTTTTCCTTTTTTCTTTTGGGTTAGGGTTATAGATTTTAGCAGTATATAATAAAGATATTCTTAAATAGGTATGTAATTTGTTTATTTGTGATATAATTAGCCTACACATAATTTTGTGTTGGGGTAGCTGTAGTAGAGGAATTCTCCCTCTTAGTAGGGATTATTTCCTCTTACTACCTCTTTATTATTTTTAGGTTACAATTTGTAGGGTCAAGCCCATTTAGCTATCCGTCTAGCCCTTTTTCTTGTGCCCCGGGCTAGTGTTCAATTTTTTGGACTCTGCTCTGTGGTACTTTCCTATGGACGCTGGCATCTTCTCACTGTGACTTTCACAGTGAGAAGTATGCAAGCGCCTCTAGCGGCTGTCAACGAGACAGCCACTAGAGGCTGGATTAACCCTAATATAAACATAGTAGTTTCTCTGACCTGGCACCCAGACCACTTCATTAAGCTTCATTTAAGGATGCCCCGGAGTTCACTATCACCTCGGCCTTGTTTGAACTTTATCCAATAGTGGCTGTCGCAGTCATACGGGGCACATGCTGGTCAGGTAATATGGTACATTGTTTTTCCGACAACATGGCAACGTGCCATGTTGTTAACAAAGGACGCTCTTCGTCCCTGACCATGATGCGTTTCATGAGGAAGTTGACATGGCTGACAGCTAAGCATGATTTTTTTCCTGGTATGTATACATATTCCTGGGATCCTGAATATCGCAGCTGATAATTTGTCTCGATCTCCATTTCAGGAGTTCCGGACAGCTTTGCCAAAAGCAGACTTAGTAGCCACTCCGGCTCCACAGTGGCAGGACATGGTTATGGATCAGATCATTTACTTGCTCACGGGCGTCACATCTCACACCTAGGTCTTTCTGCAAACACAAGGAAATCCTATGATAGGGTTTTTCACATTTCAATAGATTTTTGCTGGAGTTTCACATCACAGACAAGTTCTCCATGGGGACATTGGTAGCATTCATCTCTTTTTGCCACCTGCACCTAAAGCTATCCTTCAACACCATTAAATTATACATTACCAGGATCTAACACCACATACTCACCACATGGCCTGATAAACAACCCTTTCTGTCGTCCTATCAGGTTAAAGTTATATTAAAAGGTATAAAAGACTCCTCACCTATAGCTACACCTTCTAGATCACATGTTCCAATCAGTTTCAGATCTCCTAGATGCATCACCATTCGCCACCCAGACAAATAACATGATTAAAACGGCCATCTATTTAGCATTCTTTGGCTTTCTCCGACCAAGAGAATTCACCACCACCAATACTAACTCAGCTGACTTAGTCACCAAAGCACAGCTGGTGAAAGCACACGACCACTATGTACTTTCACTAAAACACACAAAAACTGGTAGAAAGGGTCAGGCAGTAAAAATCACATATTACCCCACAGGCAATCAGTGAAGCCCTGTCAAAGTCTTGGACCTTTCCTACAATCAAAATACCCCTAATCAACCACTTCTGACTTTACACGGTAAAACACTCACCACTAGCAGGTTCGTGCCGTATGTTAGAATGTTACTGTTATGGTTAAGTGTTAACCCGGCTAATTACTAAGGTCATTCATTCCGTATTGGGTCCGCCACCATGGCTTCCAAAAGAAATATTCCCGTAAACATTATCAAAACCTTAGGTTGATGGAAATCCACTGCCTACACTAGATACATACCTCAACCTACACAAGAGGTACGACAAGCATTCCGGAACATGTTAATGTGATGTATCCATGTTGTCTTTGTAGGTCGAATAAATTTTGTTATCTCTTTTTGCCTTCTTAATTTCAGACCTGCCGCATTGTCTGTTCCGGCACACCACAACTGACTATTGTTTCTTCCCTGCTGGTTTTTCTTTGGTTTTTACTATATACTGGGGCTGATGTGTACTGTAGTCATTGCTACCGCCCAGTGATGGGAGTGAGCGCAGGACTTATCTTTCTGCATTTCTATCCATTTTTTGTATCACTCAACCTTGTTACAATGCAGCCGCCCATCCCATGTGTTCCCTATTAAGGGTTAATAATATATAGGGGTGTATATAAAAAATACCGCTTTCTGTCTCATTTGAGATTTTTGTCAGAGGCTCAAGGAAGCAAGGTGAATGGTTAAAGTTAGGACCCACCTAGGGCAGTCTGCCTTGACGTTGGCAGGTGGACTCATCCTCTCATGACCATTGGAGGCCGTGTGTATGTATGTATTTTTAAACAAAAGACCTCCATTTGTTTAATAATACATACATACATACACACACATATATATAGTGTGTGTGTATATATTATTGTTCACACATCTGTGTTAGTGAGCACTTCTTTTTTAAGATAATACATCCACCTCTCTGGTGGGGCATATCAAGATAGTTATTAGACAGCATGATTATTGCACAGGTATGCCTTAGGGTGGCCACAATGTGCAGTTGTACTGTATTGGGGGGTTCTGAAAACAAGTCAATATCTGGTGTGTCCACCATTTGCCTCACAAAGTGCAATCCTTCACATATAGTTGATCAGGTTGTTGATTGTGGCCTGTGTAATGTTGGTCGACTCCTCTGTAACGGCTGTGCAAAGTTGTTGGATATTGGCAGGACCTGGAACACGCTGTCATATACGCTGATCCAGAGTATCCCAAACATGCTCAATGGGTGACATGTCCAGTCAGTATGCCTGCCATGCAAGAATTGGGATGTTTTCAGGTTCCACAAATTTTGTACAGATCTTTGCAACATAGCTCCATGCATTATCATGCTGCAACATGAGGTGATGGTCTTGGATGAATGGCACAACAAAAGGACCTCAGGATCTCATCACTCAAAAATGTCATCAATAAAACGCACCTGTGTTTCTTGTCCATAACATTCCATATGTGCATTCAAAATGTCATCAATAAAACGCACCTGTGTTTCTTGTCCATAACATATGCTTGCCCATACCATAACCCCACCGCCACCATGGGCCACTCAATCTACAACGTTGACATCAGCAAACCGCTCACCCACATGACGCCATCTGCCCTGTACAGTAAAAACTGTGATTCATCCGTGAAGAGAACACCTCTCCAAAGTGCCAGACGCCACTGAATGTGAGCATTTGCCCACTCAAGTTGGTTACAACGACAAACTGCAGTCAGTTCGAGACCCCGATGAGGACGACGAGCATGCAGATGAGCTTCCCTAAGATGGTTTCTGACAGTTTGTGCATGAATTCTTGGTTATGCAAACTGATTGTTGTCTGGGTGGCTGGTCTCGAACGATATTGGAGGTGAAGATGCTGGATGTGGACGTCCTGGGCTCGTGTGGTTACAAGTGGTCTGCGTTTGTGAGGCTGGTTGGATGTACGGCCAAATTCTCTAAATCGCCTTTGGAGATGGCTTATGGTAGAGGAATGAACATTCAATTCACGGGCAACAGCTCGGGTGGACAATCCTGCAGTCAGCATGGGTCTGTCATTCTGTTTCTAGGTTCTCCTTTCTCCCTTTGTCTTTATGATACCTTTTCCCTCTTTCTCCTGTTATTCTTAATGTTACCTTTGTCTAATCTAATAACTCAAATAAACTACCTGAAGTCAACCCCGACATAAGTCTCTTGTCTGACCTGATCAGGTCAGACAAGAGACTTATGTCGGGGTTGACTTCAGGTAGTTTATTTGAGTTATTAGATTAGACAAAGGTAACATTAAGAATAACAGGAGAAAGAGGGAAAAGGTATCATAAAGACAAAGGGAGAAAGGAGAACCTAGAAACAGAATTACAGGTGAGTATGAAAATAGACGTTTAGGCAATATGCCAGAAAACAGGTTTACAGGAGATAGGGAAACAATTAGATAAAACTAAACAGGAATATAAAGTAAAACAGGTTAAAGCAGCAATTGAGGTCGTCGGCCTCTTTGGTTTGTGATCAGAACTGCAGTTTCAGGGTCTTTGCGGCTAAGAATGTCTATAATATCCTGGCAGGTTGGGAGGAAATCAGTATGAAATAAAGCAGGATGAGATGAATCGGGATGGTTGAAGGTAAGTAAGAGTGGAGCGGGTTTTCTTTAGAAGAGCCAGGAGCAGAAGACATGTCATGTTCAGAATACTACTTCTATCAATGTAAAGGCAACTTAGTTTTGTTGGGTGTGGCCTTTTATATCATATATAAAACATGCCATGCATGTGAGAGAGACTGAGGTGACTAGTGGCTAGGGAGGCCACTAGTAGTGAAAACTGGAACTATATCTAAATAAAACAGAAGAAATGAAACGTGTTTTTTTTTTTTTTAATTGTCAGCATAGGATCCTCAAAACTTGCGACACCCGTGGCATTGTGCTGTGTGATAAAACTGGACATTTTAGAGTGGCCTTTTATTGTGGCCAGCCTAAGTCACACTTGTGGAATAATCATGTTGTCTAATCAGCACACCTGTGAGGTGGATGGATTATCTTGGCAAAGGAGAATTACTCACTAACATAGATTTAGACAGATTTGTGAACAATATTTGAGAGAAATAGGCCTTTTGTGTACATAGAAAAAGCCTTAGCTCTTTGAGTTCAGCTCCTGAAAAATGTGGGCAAAAACAAGTGTTGTGTTTATAATTTTGTTCAGTGTATGTGTGTGTGTGTGTGTGTGTGTGTGTGTGTGTGTGTATATATATATATGTATATGTATGTGTGTGTGTGTATGTATATGTATGTTGGTGTGTTGGTGTTCAAGTAGAGATTATGTCCGTATCTAGCCTTATCTTATAGTTAGGATAGCCTTATGCCTATCCCACGCATGCTTAAAGTCATTTACTGTGTTAACCTCTACCACTTCAGCTGGAAGGCTATTCCTTGCATCCACTACCCTCTCTGTAAAGTAATACTTCCTAATATTATGTTTAATCATTTGCCCCTCTAATTTAAGACTATGTCCTCTTGTTGTGGTATTTTTCTTTTAAATATGGTCTCCTTCTTTACTCTGATTCCCTTTATGTATGTAAATGTTTCTATCATATCCCCCCTGTCTCGTCTTTCCTCCAAGCTATACAAGTTAAGATCCTTTAACCTTTCCTGGTCAGTTTTAGCCTGCAATCCATGAACCAGTTTAGTAGCCCTTCTCTGAACCCTCTCTAAGGTATCAATATCCTTCTGAAGTTACTGTCTCCAGTACTGCGTACGATACTCCAAGTGAGGTGTCACCAGTGTTCTGTACGATGGCATGAGCACTTCCCTCTATCTACTGCTAATACTTCTCCCTATATAACCAAGCATTCTACTAGCATTTCCTGCTGCTCTATTACATTGTCTGCCTACCTTTGAGTCATCAGAAATAATCACCCCTAAATCCCTTTCTTCAGATGTTGAGGTTAGAACTCTATCAAATATTCTGTACACTGCCCTTGGGTTTTTACGTCCAAGATGCATTATCTTGCACTTATCCACATTAAATGTCAGTTGCCACAACTCTGACCATTTTTCTAGTTTACCTAAATCATTTGGCTTATCCCTCCCGGAACATCAACCCTGTTATATATCTTCGTATCATCAGCAAAAAGACATACCTTACCATCAAAACCTTCTGCAATATCACTAAAAAAAAATATTAAAGAGAATGGGTCCAAGTATAGATCCCTGATGTACCCCACTGGCAGGGCCAGACTGGGGATATGAAGCAGCCCTGGAAAAAAATCGATGCCAGCCCCATAGCCAATCATTGTGCTATGTAGGGTGTTTTGATATAATATATTTGAAATAGTTGGCTGCACTCTTGGATTTCCTGAAAATGTAACTTTTATTGAAATATTTAAGAGAAGATCAATGTTTCAGTCCATCTTGTGGACTTTCGTCATGATCCTGATGCAAGTCCACAAGAGGGACTGAAACGTTGATCTTCTCTTAAATATTTCAACAAAAGTAAAATTTTAAGGAAATCCGAGAGTACAAACTCTGATACACACACACAAGCTTACTATAGACCAGCTCACTGTCACACACACATGCTCACTACAGACAAGCTCACTGATGCGCACACACTCTCCCTACAGACAAGCCTATTGACACACACGCTCCCTACAGAAGAGCTCACTGACACACACATGCTCACTACAGACAAGCTCACTGACACACATATGGTCACTACAGACAAGCTCACGATCACACTCATGCTTACTACAGACAAGCTCACTGTACACACATGCTCACCACAGACAGGCTCCGACACACCCATGCTCCTTACAGACAAGCTCACTAACACACACACACATATGATCCCTACAGACAAGCTCACTGACACACATACAAGCTCACTCACTAGCAGGCACACACCCACACACACAAACTCACTAGCAGGCACACACACAGAGGCTCCCTCACTAGCAGATGCGCGCACACACACACAGAGGCAGACAGCCACTGACACCCAGGCAGACAGTCACTGACACTGAGGCAAACACCCACACATACAAAGACAGGCAGACAGCCACGCACACACAGGCAGTCACGCACACAAACAGGCAGTCACACACAGACAGTCAGACAGTCACACACTCAGTCAGACAGACTCACACAGACAGTCACCCACTCCCAGGCAGTTACACAGACAGTCACACACTCCCAGGCAGTCACACAGACAGTCACACACTCACAGGCAGACACACACAGTCACACACTCACAGGCAGTCACACACAGTCACACACTCACACAGACAGTCACACACTCACAGGCAGTCACAGACAGTCACACACTCACACAGACAGTCACACACTCACACAGACAGTCACACACTCACAGGCAGTCACGCAGTCACAGGCAGTCACACATTCACAGGCAGTCTCACAGGCAGTCTCACAGGCAGTCACACACAGACAGTCAAACACTCACACAGACAGTCACACACACTCACACAGGCAGTCACACACTCACAGGTAGTCACACACTCACACAGAGACAGTCACACACTCACAGGCAGTCACACACAGACAGTCACACACTCACACAGACAGTCACACACTCACAGGCAGTCACACACTCACACAGAGACAGTCACACACTCACACAGACACAGTCACACACTCACAGGCAGTCACACACAGACAGTCACACACTCACAGGCAGTCACACACTCACAGGCAGTCACACACAGTCACACTCACACAGAGACAGTCACACACTCACACAGACAGTCACACACTCACACAGAGACAGTCACACACAGACAGTCACACACAGGCAGTCACACACAGGCAGTCACACACTCACACAGGCAGTCACACACAGTCGCACACTCACACAGGCAGTCACACACTCACACAGGCACTCACACACAGGCACTCACACACAGACACTCACACAGAGACAGTCACACACAGGCAGTCACACACTCACACAGACACACTGACCTGCTTCTTACCTCCTGTTTGGAGCTCCTGGAGGCTTGTTGTTGGGGAAGCAGGGACTCCTTCCTGCTTCCCATGCTGCAGTCAGCCAGGCCCCCGCCGCACAGTAAGCTCTGCCGCACGCTAAGCCCCGCCCCGCCGCATGTAAGCTCCGCCCCCGTAGCCTGGCTCCCCCTGCTCCCGTGGGGCTCTGTGCGGCCGCACAGCTCACACATGGCCGGGCGGGATCACAGGAGCTGTCAGCCCAATGATCAGGGCTGTCAGACCAGCCCCAGGTGCCGCGGCCCACCGGGAAATTTCCCGGTATCCCGGTGGGCCAGTCCGGCCCTGCCCACTGGTGACAAGCCCAAGCTTCGCATATACTCCATTGACTACAACCCTCTGTTGCCTGTCACTCAGCCACTGCCTTACCCATTCAACTATATTGGAATCCAAACTTAAAGGAACACTATAGTCACCTAAATTACTTTAGCTAAATAAAGCAGTTTTAGTGTATAGATCATTCCTCTGCAATTTCACTGCTCAATTCACTGTCATTTAGGAGTTAAATCACACCTCCCCTGGCTATGATTGACAGAGCCTGCATGAAAAAAAAAAAAAAAAATGGTTTCACTTTCAAACAGATGTAATTTACCTTAAATAATTGTATCTCAATCTCTAAATTAAACTTTAATCACATACAGGAGGCTCTCGCAGGGTCTAGCAAGCTATTAACATAGCCGGGGATAAGAAAATCTTAATTAAACAGAACTTGAAATAAAGAAAGCCTAAATAGGGCTCTCTTTACAGGAAGTATTAATGGAAGGCTGTGCAAATCACATGCAGGGAGGTGTGACTAGGGTTCATAAACAAAAGGATTTAACTCCTAAATGGCAGAGGATTGAGCAGTGAGGCTGCAGGGGCATGTTCTATACACCAAAACTGCTTCATTAAGCTAAAGTTGTTCAGGGGACTATAGTGTCCCTTTAAAGATTGCAATTTATTGATAAGTCTGTGTGCAACAGTGTCAAAAGCCTTACGGTAACCAATGTCTACTGCACCACCTTGATCTATTATTTTAGTTACCCAATAAAAAAAAATCAATAAGATTAATTTGGCATGATCATCCTGAAGTAAACCCATGTTGTCTCTGATCTTGAAATCCATGTGTTTTTAGATGTTCAACAATCATATCCTTTAACATGGTTTCCATTACTTTCCCCACTACTGAAGTAAGACTTACTGGACTATAGTTGTCCTGGGCACAACATTCGCTAACTTCCAATCTTCTGGGACTACTCCTGTTAACAATGATTGGTTAAATAAATAAGATCACATGGTGGTGGGGGATAGTGCAGAAAATTGTGCTAGAAGGGGGGAGTAAAAACAAAATAGTTACTTGTATTAAGAATACATTAATTCCCATCCAAGAGTTACAGGATATGAACGAAGGCCTATATCCAGCATTCACAGACAGGCATACACACTCGCACACATGTTCAAGTATACAAAAGCACATTCACACTATACTCCAGTACATACAATATACATATAAATACATCAAAATGTCCAAATATATGTACATGCACACCTACACATACATCAATACACATATCTATACATATACCAGTGTGCATTATAGCTTGGTGCTTCATCTAAGTGCTGTTTCTAAGTGTGTAGTGTGCAGTTGGAGATATTCTGGAGAGTTTTACAGAAGCTTCAACTGTCTAAGAGTTGTGCTAAGAGCTTTCTTTTCTACTGTTACAGGTAAGATTCATCTGTAGGAAAAGGTTACTGATTGCACAAGGTTTGAATTCCTGTTGGTAATTATAAGGCATTTGATTTGATTAAGCTAGTTACTTGCTATTGATTGCTGGTTAATTAGCTATTGTTTGCAAATAAGCAGAGGCCTACCCAGGTGTTAAACATTCCTAGTGGGTTGTGATTTTAGGAGTTATATAAGGCTTGTTGTCATTAGCTTGTCTAATATAGCTTGGTGCTTCATCTAAGTGCTGTTTCTAAGTGGGTAGTTGGAGATATTCTGGAGAGAACCTGGAGGTAATCTGAGGTATTCAGGAGGATAAATACAAAGTTAAGATTTGTTAGATTTAAATTATTCTCCTAATTGGAATGGCAGACTTAGTTCAGTGTAACAATTGCTATGCATTTGTTTCACGTTCCACTTTTTGGAGATTTGGTTGTTGTCTAATCTGTAGACAGTTCTCTATCTTGCGGCAGGAGATTGTATTTTTGAAGTCTGAGATTTGTAAATTATCTGGTGAACAAACTCAGACTGGACCTGCTGCAAAAGCACTGCCGCAGAGACATACTAGGAATGGCAGATGGATTACTGTAGGATCTGGTAGACTTAGAGTTGTGGATAAAAGGCATTTTGCACAGTCTATTGCTCTTCATAATTCATTTTCTGCACTTTCAGAGTGTAATGGTGTTGTGGAGAGAGGCACTGAGGCTAGTGGTGTTGTGGAGAGAGGCACTGAGGCTAGTGGTGTTGTGGAGAGAGGCACTAAGGCTAGTGGTGTTGTGGAGAAAGCAGTTGTTGTTGGGGGATTCCATTATAAGAGGTGTGGAGATGGACAATGGTGGTCTTGTGAGATGTCTTCCCGGAGCTACTGCTCACAGAGACAGGAGACGTATCTGTAATATTGTTAAGCAAGCAAAGCAGGAAGGGGAATTGGATGTACTTGTCCATCTAGGGACAAATGACTTGGCTTGCAATGAGGTTTCAGAGGTTAAGGAAGTTTTTAGTGTTTTTGCCAATGATATACGGCAGGTTGCTTCCACACTGTCATTCTCTGAAGTTCTGCCTGTGCATAACACTCAGAACGACAGGCGGATGCGTATTAGGGACTTTAATTTGTGGCTTGGTGAATGGTGTCGGGAGCAAGGATTTGGCTTTATTTCTCATGGTAGCTCTGTTTGGAATGGAGATAAGCTGTACAAAAAAGATGGTTTGCATCTTTCTCAAAAGGGAACAAATGTTCTCAGTGAGCAGTTCAGAGGTTTTGCTAGGATGTATTTAAACTAGGAGGGGGGGGCAAAAGGGTGATAAAACATCAATCCAATTGTCCCCCAAAACAAGGACAGAAGGTGCCTGTAGCAAGTGTGTTAACAAATGATAAGCTTAGAGTCATGTCTACAAATGCTCGCAGTTTAGGGAATAAGATCCATGAACTTGTGGCAATAATGGCAACTGATAGTGTAGATTTAGTCGCTGTTACTGAGACATGGTATAATGAGAAAAATTACTGGGACATAGCAATACCAGGGTACTCTTTATATAGGAAAGATAGGGAAGGCAAGAAAGGGGAGGGGTGGCCTTGTATGTGAAGGATAGCATAAAATCTAGCCTAATAAAAGTTAGTGAGGCAAACATAGAGTCCGTTTGGACTACGTTAGAATTTGGTAATCACACAGTAACTCGTGTAGGTGTGATTTATAGGCCCCCAGGACAAATTGAAGAGTTAGATAATCTACTAGTTGAGGAAATAGCTAAAATAACAATGAAGGGGGAAGTTATCATCATGGGTGACTTTAATCTTCCTGATGTAAATTGGAAAACAAAATTAGCTACTTGTGCCAGGAGCACACATATTCTAAACTCCCTACTGGGATTGTCTCTAAAACAAGTTGTTGAGGAGCCAACTCGTAAAGAGGCCATACTAGATTTAGTGTTAACAAATGGAGATTTGGTATCAGATATTACTGTAGGTGAAAGTTTAGGATCCAGTGATCATCAGTCAGTGTGGTTTAATATAAGAACAGTGACTGAGTCACACCACACAAAAACAAAAGTTTTAGACTTTAGAAAAACAGACTTTTCTAAAATTAGAATATGGGTAGAGGAGTCATTATCAGACTGGAGCAATTTAAATGGAGTCCAAGAGAAATGGGATTATTTAAAAGTTGCACTATTGAAGGCAACAGAAAATTGCATTAGGCTTGTCAGTAAAAGCAAAAATTCAAGAAACCACTGTGGTACTCCGCAGATGTGGCCAAAATAGTTAAAAACAAAAAGTTAGCATTTAGGAATTATAAAAAAACCCAGAGTGAGGAAGACAAAATGATCTATAAGATTAGGCAGAAAGAGGCTAAGCAAGTTATAAGAGCTTCCAAATCACACACAGAAGAGAAAATAGCACAGTCAGTAAAAAAGGGGGATAAAACATTTTTTAGATACATAAATGAGAAAAGAAAAGTAAAACAAGGATTAGTTAGATTAAAAACAAAAGAAGGAAGGTATGTAGAAGAGGATAAAGGTCTAGCTGACTGCCTCAATGAATATTTTTGTTCTGTATTTACAGATGAAAATGAAGGAAAGGACCTCAGTTGAGAAAAAGGATAAATGAGTCATTTATTACACGTGAGTTTACAGAGGAAGAGGTTCTATTTCAACTGTCAAAAGTAAAGACAAATAAGTCAATGGGACCTGATGGAATACACCCAAAGCTATTAAAAGAGCTTAGTGGTGTACTAGCAAAACCATTAACAAATTTATTTAACCAATCATTGTTGACAGGAGTAGTCCCAGAAGATTGGAAGTTAGCGAATGTTGTGCCCATTTACAAGAAAGGTAATAGGGAGGAGTCGGGCAACTATAGGCCAGTAAGCCTTACTTCAGTAGTGGGGAAAGTGATGGAAACCATGTTAAAGGATAGGATTGTTGAACATCTAAAAACACATGGATTTCAAGATCAGAGACAACATGGGTTTACTTCAGGGAGATCATGCCAAACTAATCTTATTGATTTTTTGATTGGGTAACTAAAATTATAGATCAGGGTGGTGCAGTAGACATTGCTTACCTAGATTTCAGTAAGGCTTTTGACACTGTTGCACATAGAAGGCTCATCAATAAACTGCAATCTTTAAGTTTGGATTCCAATATTGTTGAATGGGTAAGGCAGTGGCTGAGTGACAGGCAACAGAGGGTTGTAGTTAATGGAATATATTCGAAGCTTGGACTTGTCACCAGTGGGGTACCTCAGGGATCTGTACTTGGACCCATTCTCTTTAATATTTTTATTAGTGATATTGCAGAAGGTCTTGATGGTAAGGTATGTCTTTTTGCTGATGATACTAAGATATGTAACAGGGTTGATGTTCCAGGAGGGATAAGCCAAATGACAAATGATTTAGGTAAACTAGAAAAATGGTCAGAATTGTGGCAACTGACATTTAATGTGGATAAGTGCAAGATAATGCATCTTGGACGTAAAAACCCAAGGGCAGAGTACAGAATATTTGATAGTCCTAACCTCAACATATGAGGAAAGGGATTTAGGGGTGATTATTTCTGATGACTGTAGAAAGAGGGAAGTGCTCATGCCATTGTACAGAACACTGGTGAGACCTCACTTGGAGTATTGTACACAGTACTGGAGACCGTATCTTCAGAAGGATATTGATACCTTAGAGAGAGTTCAGAGAAGGGCTACTAAACTGGTTCATGGATTGCGGGATAAAACTTACCAGGAAAGGTTAAAGGATCTTAACATGTATAGCTTGGAGGAAAGACGAGACAGGGGGGATATGATAGAAACATTTAAATATATAAAGGGAATCAACACAGTAAAGGAGGATACTATATTTAAAAGAAGAAAAACTACCACAACAAGAGGACTTAGTCTTAAATTAGAGGGACAAAAGTTTAAAAATAATATCAGGAAGTATTACTTTACTGAGAGGGTAGTGGATGCATGGAATAGCCTTCCAGCTGAAGTGGTAGAGGTTAACACAGTAAAGGAGTTTAAGCATGCGTGGGATAGGCATAAGGCTATCCTGACTATAAGATAAGGCCAGGGACTAATGAAAGTATTTAGTATTTAGTGCAACATAAAACAAAACATACAATATCACAGTATTACAATTGAACAATTGAAGAGGATGGAGTAGGAGGAGTAGAGGAGGTGGCAGCAGGACTGCCTGCAAGTCGTGGCGGTGTCACCAACTCCTCTGCAGAGCCATGAAAGTATTTAGAAAATTGGGCAGACTAGATGTGCCGAATGGTTCTTATCTGCCGTCACATTCTATGTTTCAATGTTTCTATGCATACACAGACCCATATATATGTATATGTACACATACACCTATTCACAAATACGTGTGTGTGTGTGTGTGTGTATATATATATATATATGTGTATATATATGTATGTATGTGTGTATATATATATATATATATATATATATATATATATATATAATGTTCATAAATACATACACACAAACATGTACATGCACATGAACTCATATACACAAATACACATTCACATATATAAGCATACATTCATAAGAGTATGGGAGAGCATAGGTCTATACACAGTATTTTGTATATTGATAGAATAAACATATTGGAATGCATTTTAAAATGTTGATACAGATGACAGAACAGTGAGATAATGCTAGGGAGTGTTCATGTACAGTGTTGGTACAATTTGATCATTCTGGCTTCAAAGTTTTCTTTCTTGGGTATTTTTAAAAACCACTTTCAGTACTTTGATTTTTAGGTTGTTCATTGAGTGGACAGGCTGGGTAAAGTGGTGTCCCACATGAGTGCAGTACAATTCTTCTTTGTGGTGTTTAATGGAGTGTCATTTCATATTAATTCTGCCATTTAATTGCTGGGTGGTTTACCCAATGTAGAATCCTAGGTGGCATGTGGTGCATTGAATCATGTGTACCACATTGCTGGATGTGCGGGAGTATGAACATTTAATGCTGTAGGTTGTATTGTTGTGTGTGGCTGTGTTGTCTGTGCAAATGTGCTGACACAGTTTGCAGCATGGTTTCTTTGCATTGACTGGTCCTGTTTTCTTTATTCTTCCTGTTGAATAATTTTTGTTGGAGGTTTGGTGGTTGTCTGAAGGCCAAAATGGGTGTTTCAAAATTTTTTTATTTTTTTTTCCGAAGTATCATCTTCTGTTAATATTGGTTGTAGGTCTTTAACCTCTTCAGGACACATGACATGTGTGACATGTCATGATTCCCTTTTATTCCAGAAGTTTGGTCCTTAAGGGGTTAATGGTCGTATTTTCTCGAGCTGGGTTGTAGGTGACCACAAGTGGCACACGTGTAGATATTTTTTTTTTCTCTCTGTACTATCGCGTGTGTGGAGTTTTTACAGCAGAGTTGATGTGTCTGGTAATAGTCTTGTGTTTGTAGCCTTTCTGTCTCCCAGATCGGTGAAAATACATTTAGATGGGAATCATGGTCATTAGGATCAGGGCATATGCAATGGTACCTAGTGGCTTGGCTGTAGATGATGCCCTGTTTAGTATGGGAGGGGTGGAAGCTGGAACTGTGAAGGTAACTGCACCTGTCTGTGGGTTTGCTGTAAACCGAGGTGTGGATTGTGCCCTTGTTGCATGTCACAGTGGTGTCCAGAAAATTCAAAGATCTAGTGGAATTTTTAGTTTGCTGGATGAAGTGTGTTAAGAGTCAAGGAACTGTATCAGTTTTTCTTCGCTTTCAGTCAGGCCCGGACTGGCCATCGGGCATACCGGGCAAATGCCCGGTGGGCCGCGATGGCTGTGGGGCCGAGGCCGGCAGGGAGATCACAGGATCTCCCCGGCCGGCCCCTGCAGGGCCAGCGCTACCCGAGCGCCGGCCCCGCTGTGTGCCTCCATGGGCCGGTGGGGAGATCAAAGATCTCCCTCACCGGCCCACAGACAGGGAGATGCGGCCGCCGGCTGGGTGAGGGAGGGAGGAGAGAGGACCCGGCGGAGCTCTAGCCAGCAGCTCCGCCGGTCCTCTCGCGGGATTCTGAGCGTTGCCGCGGTTACCACGGCAACGCTCAGATCTCGCGAGAGTGAACTCTAACCTGCAGGTTAGAGTTCACTCTCACCACTGGACCACCAGGGAAGGCAGCATGGCTCCCCCTCCCAGGCAGAACGGAATCTCCTCCTCCTCCCCCTCCCAGGATAAAGGTAAGAAGGGAGGGGGGAGGGGGGGGATATAATTTTTTTTTATTAGTAAAAAATATATATTTAAATAAAAAATACATTCACTCACACATACAGCCTCCAGACACAGCACCCCTCAGACACACACAGCACCCCCAGACACAGCACCCCCCATACACACACAGCACCCCCAGACACAGCACCCCCCAGACACACACAGCCCCCAGACACAGCACCCCCCAGACACACACAGCACACACACAGCACCCAGACACAGCACCCCAGACACACACAGCAGCACCCCAGACACACAGCACCCCAGACACACAGCACCCCAGACACACTAGCACCCCCAGACACACACACTGCCCTCAGACACACACCACCTCAAGACACACACACTGCACCCAGAACACACACAGTACCCCCAGACACACAGAGCACCCCAGCACACAGAGCACCCCAGACACACAGAGCGCCCCAGACACACAGAGCACCCCAGACACACAGAGCACCCCAGACACACAGGCACCCCAGGAACCCGCACACAGCACCCAGACACACACTGCACCCAGGGCCTGCTGAACACACACAGCACACCCAGACACACACTGCACCCACAGACACACACAGCACCCCCAGACACACACTGCACCCAGACACACACAGCACCCCCAGACACACACAGAACCCCCAGACACACACAGCACCCAGACACACACACAGCACCCAGACACACACAGCGCACCCAGACACACACAGCGCACCCAGACACACACACAGCAACCCCAGACACACAGCATCAGACACACACAGCACCCCCAGACACACACGGCACCCCAGACACACCTGCCCTCAGACACACACTGCACCCTCAGACACACACACAGTGCCCCCAGACACAGGCACCCCCAGCACACAGAGCACCCCCAGACACACAGGAGCACCCCCAGCACAGAGGCACTTACACAGGCACCCCAGACACACACAGCACCCCAATTTTGCATAGCACCCCAGACACACACACAGCACTGACGCACACAGCACCCCCAATTTTACAGCACCCCCACACACTGGCACCCCAGACACACACAGCACCCCAGACACACAGCACCCCAGACACACACAGCACCCCAGACTGGCACACCCAGACGACACAGCCGAACCCAGACACACACACAGAACCCCCAGACACACACAGCACCCCAGACACACACAGCACCCCCCCAGACACAGCACCACCCAGACACACACAGCACCACCCAGACACACACTGCGCCCCCAGACACACACAGCACACAGAATGTGACAGCAGATAAAAACACCCTCACACACAGCACCCCTCTTACATACACACACTGCGCCCTTCACACATACAATAAGTCCAAATATATATATACATACACACACACACACACACACTACAGCACCCCTCACACTGCACCACTACACACATTACGCTCCAGATACACACTAGATCCCTTACCCTATATGCACTCTTAATCCTCTACACACACACACACACACACACAAACTGGGTCATTTGCACAGTAGATCTCCTACACACACACACTACATTCCTTGTCAGCAAACACATACAACATTCTCTAAACAGACTCTCTCTGCAACCCCTACACACACTACGTCACCTATACACACACACTTCAGCCTGTATGCACACACTCGCTGCATCCCCTATAAAACTATGCCCCTTATACACACACTCTCTACAGCCCCTAGCCACACATATTACACCACAAACACAAATTATATTGACCTATTTATACAATACCACACCACACTCTACACACACGCAATCCCACAAGCAGGCTCCAAACATATGCACCATGCACTTTCCTGGCCCTTTTGTCCTCTGGTATCCCACTTGTGGAGACACCAGAGACAATTTAAAAGCAAACACAGCGCAAGCATGTTATTAAATTTGCTTGCGCTGCGCAGAACAAATTCGGGGCCTTTTTCTAATGCCAGAGCTCTTCAGCGGGGCTCTGGGCATTGAACCAACATGCTCACTTTGAGAGGGGGCGTGCTTGTCATTAGTGATGACAAAACACATACTCTCTGGCCCCGCCCCCTTCTTAGGGGGCCGCTCTGATTGAAAAATGCCCGGGCCTAATTTTTTTCCCAGTCCGGCCCTGCTTTCAGTCAAAATTATGAAGATGTGTGTGTGTATCTGTGTGTGTTTATTTGTGTTTATATGTACTTGTGTATACTTGTACATATGCAGTAAGTGTGTGTGTGTGTGTGTATGCTGGATATAGGCCTTCATGCATATCCTGTAACTCTTGGATGGGAAGTCATGCATTTGTTATATTAATACTCCCCCCTTCTAGCACCATCTTCTGCACTGTTTGCTTTTTTTTTTTTTTTTTCTCTCTCTTCCCCCTCACTCTCTGATCTTTGCATAAGATATTTACGACCCTCTGCAAGAATGGTGTCTATGTTCTATCAAACATGTCTTATATGCACTCATGTCTCTTTAACAACTATGTAACAACTCAACTTTGAATTTGATGTGTTGCATTGTTCAGAAATGCTTCAGACTTGAAAAAGGGAGGTTATACATGGAGCTTTCATCAGAACAGGTAACATGTAACACATGTGCAGACAAGAGAATATATACCCCAGATCCCTCCAAAACAAACTGAACAATCAAATTAAATTGACCCCTTAAGGACGGAGCCAAATGTACACGTTGTGAACAAAACACAATGTAAACAAAACCTGGCATTTGCGCTACATGTCTGTCCAACCGTAATTCACCTCTTTCATAGTAAATGCCCCCACCCTTATTATATATCCATTATGGCCAAAGTTAGTGTTAGTATTTGTGTGTGAAAAATGCCAAAAACGCCAATTTTGGCCAGTGTTTGTGATTAAGTGGCTACTAAAAAAGACTGGACATACCCTGTTTGCAATACCTTGGGTTGTCTACTTTTGCAAATGGTATGCAATCATGGGGGTAATTTTCATAGGGTCTCAAAGGCAACGTAACCAATCTGGCAAATTTTAACCCCTTAAGGACTGGACCTTTTTTGCGATGTTGTACATTTGCGACCAGGCATATTTTTACACTTTTGTGGTGTTTGTGTTTGGCTGTAATTTTCCGCTTTCTCATTTACTGTTCCCATACAAATTATATATTGTTTTTTTCAGGACAAAAGGGCTTTCTTTACATACCATTATTTATATAATCTCATGTATTTTAATTTAAAAAAAATAAAAAAATATGATGAAAAATTGAAAAAAAATACATGTTTTTTGACTTTTACTTGAAAAATCTTTTACTCATCTACAAAAGCGAATGAAAAAACTGCTAAATAGATTCAAAATTTTGTCCTGAGTTTAAAAATACCCTGTGTTTACGTGCTTTTTTGCTTTTTTTTGCATGTTATAGGGCTATAGGTACAAGTAGGATATTGTGGTTTCAAAACATACATTTTTAAAATTTATCAATAGTGACATTGTAACACTATTATCTGTCATAAATCTCTAAATAACACCCCACATGTACATATTTCTTTTAAAGTAGACAACCCAGGGTATTCAATATGGGGTATGTCCAGTCTTTTTTAGTAGCCACTTAGTCGAAAACACTGGCCAAAGTAAGCATTCATATTTGTTTGTTTGTGAAAAAAGTAAAAAAACTAAATTGAACGCTAATTTTGGCCAGTGTTTGTGACCAAGTGGTTACTAAAAAAGACTGGACATACCCCATTTGCAATACCTTGGGTTGTCTTCTTTTGCAAATGGTATGCCATCATGGGGTAATTCTCATTCCTGGGCTACCATACGCTCTCAAAGGCAACGTAACCAACCTGGCCATTTTCAGTGTAAAAATATTTGACCCATATATTTGACCTTGTAACTTTCAAAAATGCTATAAAACCTGTACATGGGGGGTACTGTTTTACTCGGGAGACATCGCTGAACACAAATATTAGTGTTTAAAAACTGGAAAACGTATCACAACAATTATATCATTAGTAAAAGTGCTGTTTGTGTGTGAAAAATGCAAAAAAAGTCATTTTCACTGACAATATCATCACTGTGATATGTTTTACTGTTTTGAATCACTAATATTTTGTGTTCAGCGAAGTCTCCCGAGTAAAACAGTACCCCCCATGTACAGGTTTTAGGGTGTCGTAGAACGTTACAGGGTAAAATACAGTGCTAGCAAATTAAATTCTCTGGAATTTCGGCCTGGGTTGGCAGGCAGGTCCCTCAAATTGCAATCAATAAAATGACTGACTTATGTAAAAATATTACATAAATACGCACGTAGAATTTAAATATATATGCATATTTATATATTTGAAGTCTATGTGTATATTTATATAATTATTTATGTAATTTTGTATATGGACATATGTATATTTCGTATTATTTTTATTTATATATACATAGATATATATACAAATTCATTCTAAGTGTATTTTGATATAAATATATATATATTAATTTTAAAATACAGTTAGAATAAAATTTCATATAGATATATAATTTTTTTAAAATTTTTTATTATTTAAAAAAAAATTATTTAATTTAAATTACTTATTATTTATATTTTATAATAATATATATACAATATATATAGTTATTATATATATATTATATACGTGTGTAATTTAATTATAAGTGTATTTTTATATTAATATAAGTACATATTAATATAAAAATACACTTAGTATGGCATGATATATATGATATATAGACATAGATATAATATATGTCTATATATCATATATACACCTATATAATTATTATTATTATTTTTATTAACATTAACTTTATTTATTTTTTTGATTTTACACTAGCAGGGAGACTGCCTGTCAGCACAGGCAGTCCCCCTGCAGTCAGACACATGGACCCCTATTGTGACCATGTGATCGCTGTGTTAAGCGATCACATGGCGCCAGGGGTCCTAATTCAGTGTGGGGAGACTGTCTGGGCTGCAGGCAGTCTCCCCACAACCGGAGCCACGCTGATCGCCGCCGGGGGAACGACGGCGATCAGGTAAGTACCTCTGACCGTTAGGACGGTTCAGGACCGTCATCGGTCGGCACAGCAAAAATGCAGATGGCGGTACTGAACCGTCCTGGGTCGCGAAGGGGTTAATGTAAAAAAGAAACATAAGCCTTATATTTGACGCTGTAACTTTTGAAATCACCATAAAACCTGTACATGAGGGGTACTGTTGTGCTCGGGAGACTTCACTGAACACAAATACTTGTGTTTCTAGACAGTAAAAAGTATTGCAGCAATAATATCGTCCGTGTAAGTGCTGTTTGTGTGTGAAAAATGGAAACGGGTAAACTAAACCCGAGCAAATATGTATGTGTTATGCATTATACATTTGTTTTTTTGTATTGTTTTTACCGGGTGCATGTTTACACATACATATGGTCACTTTAATTGGTGTATGTCAGATACTGGACCAATATTAATATAGTCTTTTTTTGTAGAAATGGACCTCACTATTAGTGGTGATCACTGTATTGCGTTTATATCATGCTATTTGGTAGGTATTATAGTTCTGTATATTTCACAGGGCTTTATGCCCTTTCACTCCATTGCACAGATAATTCTCTGCCTAATCCGAGCTGTTTCATGTTCACTACATATTTGCTCGGGTTTAGTTTACCCGTTTCCTATCAACCGTATCATGGTAATGGCCACGCACATACGTCACATGACACGCGTCACATGACGCTTCACTTACACTTCCGGTTTCGGACTAATGGAAACCGGTGTGCACTGTTTGTTTGGTGAGTAACTCCTCCTATGTTGCTTATATATTTGTGTTGTACATGTTTGTATATTGATCTTGAGGAAGACCTGAAGAGGTCGAAACGTCGACTAGATGTATGTTACCTGTTATTAAATAATATCGAGTTTTTTTCTACAAAGACCTGAGAGTGCATCTCTTTCCTTTTTGCTTTAAATATATATATATATATATATATATATATATATATATATATATATAATATATATATATTTTTTTTTTACACATTTTATTTTATTTCCTGCCAGCAGGGGGACTACCTGTCATTAAAGGCAGTCCCCCTGCTGACAATACAGCAGGCAGCTATCCCGGCCATGTGATTGTGAGGTCCTCGCAAGGACCTCACTCTCATATGGCCCCCCGTCTGCAGGAGGGAGGATCCACCGTGGGGGGCTCCCTGGGAGTCCCCCCAACCGCGATCGCCGGCGATCGGGTAAGTAAGAAAAAAACGGAGGGCGTACTATTATGCCCGGCGGCGTTTAGAGCCGCCTAAATTAGGGCGTAATAGTACGCCCTCCGGTCTTAAAGGGTTAATGACACGGAGGCTCCTATTATGCTAGTTCAAAGTTGAGCCACAACTAAAGAAGAAACATGGTCAATCGGGTGGAAATAGAAATCATGGAACATAGATTCACTAGACCAATCCGCCGCTTTAAAAATATCATTCAGCTGACACCCTATCTAAGAAGCTTTGGATGCCATGGCTCCTCTGACCGAATGAGCTGAAAATATTGATGTATCAATCCCTGCAGCGGAAAGGAGATTCTTAACCCAACGAGGCAACGTAGTCAAGGAGACCGGTAGAAACGGTGTCCTAAAGGAAATAAACAGTTGGTACAAATCCACCGACCTCAACTGTTGAGTGTGATCCAAGTAAACCCGGAGGCAAGCCACCGGACACAGAGCAGGGTGGACTGAACACCTCGGGTAGGCAACCGACTTAGAAGCTGTCTTAGTCCTTCTCAAGATGTTAAATGACACTCCCTCTGGGGTGAAGGATATCGCTTCCCAGTCCAAAGCTCTGACATCCGAAACTCTCTTGCATGAAAGGAGACACAGGAGCATAACCAACTTCCAGGACAATTGTTTCAGCGACAGCTCCTTATTAAGGGGCCTCGACTCCAGAAAGCAAAGAACTATGTTAACATCCCAAAACAAGGAGTATCTGGATCTCGGGGATCTAGAGAAACGGATACCCTTCAACAGTCTGCACACAAAGGGATGTTTTACAACCGGCGATCCGTCAATCCCTAGATGTCCGGCCGAAATGGCCGATCTATAAACTTTAATAGTGCGGTAGGCCAAATCAGATTAAAAAAAAACGTGGTCAGAAAACTGAGCACCTCCTTCAGAGGGGCAGAAAGTGGATCCAATAATCTTCCCATGCACCAGCCAGACCACACGCGCCATGCGGATTTGTAAGCTGTTCTGGTTCCCGGTGCCCAGGCACGCTCCAGGAGTCTTGTAGTAGCTTGTGGAACGTCCACGACGGACCAGGGTCCCCTGAAATAAACCAAGCTGTGAGCTGGAGCAGGTCCTGATCCACTAATTCATGCGAGTTCCCATCCAGATCCAGAAGCACATCCGGTCGCATTGCAATCATCCGTGGGAAATCCATCCTCATCTCCAGGAGACGAGGGAACCAAGGTTGAGTCTGCCATAGGGGAACTACTATCACCAGGGCCGGCGCGTCCATAAGGCGGCTTAGGGCGCAATGGCTCTGGGCGTGCAATATTTCAGTGACCGGCAGGTGGGAAGCTCTCCCTCCTGCCAGGCCACCATCTGGACCCTTGTCGCGTCAGTGATGTGATCAGAGGCGGCGAGGGAGCTCTAATCTCTTCGCTCTGCTCCCTCGCGCGCCTTTTGGTGATGCCGCGGGAGCCAGAATATGACGTCATATTCCGGCTCCCAGCATCAGTAGGCAGCCCGCAAAGGAGCAGAGCGGGGAGATTAAAGCTCCATCGCCGCCTCTGACCACACCACTGCCGCACACCGCCCAGCAGCCCCAGGGAATGATCCATCATCCACACCAGCTCTCCAGGTAGGGAGGCTGGGTGGAAAATGCTTATTTATAAAATAATAATTAGTAAATGTACGTGATGTGTATCTGTGAGTGACAGTTTGTGTCTGTGAGTGACTGTGTGTGTGTGTGCGCATGTGAGTGTATGAGTGTGTCAAATCAGTGAGAGTATGTTTGTCATCGAGTCTGTGTGTTACTATCAGTGTGTCTGTCAATGATTGTCAATCAGTGTGTGTCTGTCAGTGTGTGTGTGTGTCAATGAATGAGTGTGTGTCAGATCAATGAGTCTGTGTCTGTCAGTGACGTCTGTGTGTTTGTCATTGAGTGTTCGACTGTCAGTGTGTATACACCACTGAGTGTAGCATTGCGGAGCGGAGCGCGGTACAGGAGCTTCTGTTTCCTGTACCTGGCCAGACTGACGGGGGGTACCTGGCCAGACTGACGGCAATGCAACAATAGAGGTAGAAGGCACACCAGGAAGGGGAGTGTGACCACTAAAGGGGTGTGGGGTGCACCAAGGGACAGGGAGGGAATGGGAGAGAAACACCAAGGGACAGGGAAAAGAGGGGGGAGGGGAGAAGAACACTAAGGGACAGGGAAGGGAGGGGATGGGAGAGGGGCTGGTTAAGAGGCACATAGGTGAAGATGTGTTTTTTTTTTTTTTGGGTGGGGGGGGTGGAAAAATGCATCTTCGCCTATATACCCAAAAATCCTTGCACCGGCCCTGACTATCACCAATGTGGAATCTTCTCTGGACAGGTACGCCAGTGTCCGAGAGATCAGGTTGAATGGGGGTAACGCAAAGTGGACAGCCATAGGCACGTCAGTCAGGGCAGGTAACACCTGCGTCACATTGGGAGAGACGTGTTTCGTCTTAGCATGCGCCTTGCGACTCGCCTGCGGCTGTAGCACAGGATGGGGGTTGGGCATCGTAGAAGGGGCCAGGGGTTGAGTCAATGCCTGCTGTATAGTATGAGACTGGGACCTTCTCATGGTGGAATCAATGAGGGCCTGGAACTCCTGAGAGGGAGTGAGGCCAGTCTCCCCAGTGGGATCCATAATGGGGTAACTGTCAGAGCCCTCACCTCTAGCCTGCATAATAGGTGCAGGGAGGAGAAACTCAAGTATAAGCAATAAAAATATATTCTATAAATATACCCGCAGGGGAAGATGCAGAGGCAAATATAAAGGATCCCAACATAAATAGTTTGAGAAGAAAAAAGGGGGCTTAATAACACTAGAACCAAAGGGGGTTGATTAACCCACGGACAATACCTGAAAATGAATAAAAGGGGAGAGGTAAAGGGAGCCGACCCGTCGAGCAGTCACAGCCACGTGAGGCAGTGCGAAAATGGCCGCTGTGTGCAGAGCGCGTCGCGGGCTACCCAGATCCACGCGGTCCCTCTGCCAATGGCCGGGGACCGCGTGGATCACAGGCGGCCGGGAACTCACTTGCACCAGCGGGTGCGAGGATAGAATGATCGGGTCGGCAGATAACGCCAAATCCTCCATTCGGGACATCTTCCCGGGACCCATGCATTATTGGGCCCTACTATGCCTGACTGCTCGCTATCTCAGGACTTCAGTTTCCTTTGGCATGGTTTTGCTCCTTTCAGACAAGGCGAACATGGAACTTCATTGGTGGCTTCGACACATGGGGATCTGGAACAACTAGGCAATTCCGGGTCTCCTCCTGAATTTTTTCCTGCACTGGTGGGACACCAACGATTGACACCTTCTTTCCCAGTGTTTTGCGTGTTGGACTTCCTTTGGGGTCCACTCCATCTGGACCTCTTCATGTACAGGGCAAACCGCTTATGGTGTTGTTCTTGGTTTTCTCACGATGTGGCGGTGGATGAGTTCATCCAGGTTTGGCCGTTAATGGGAGCCCATACGTTGCTGCCCTTTTCTATGACACAGGACTTTCCATCAAACCAATCTACTTGGAGTGTAGATACTGTGATAAAGTGAAGGCAGATAGGCCTTTTAACCCCAGGGGGAGTTTGTGTAGGATGTGTTGTAGGCAACACAAAACACTGTTTAGTTATGGGCCCCTGGGGTGGAGCATTTGGAGAGAAGGGTGGGCCAATGCTCCACTCCACAGTTTAGTGGTTTTCTGGGGAGACATAGATCCAGGCCAGGGTTTTTTTGGACCGTCTCCAACCCACTGCTCAGCTGCAGTTAATGAGCTATTGCAGTGGGAATAAACCCCTCCCGGCTAGGCAGGAAAAGGAGAGGGATTGCTGGCTTCCTCCCAGGAAGCAGGTAGGAGAGAGAGGCTGTTCTCTCCAGATAGAGTCAAGAAGACTAGGCACTGGGAGTGCAGAAAGGAAGCAGTCAGGGCAAGGCTGGCTTGGAGCACTGGGAGTGCAGAAAGCAAAGCAGTCAGGGCAAGGCTGGCTTGGAGCACTGGGAGTGCAGAAAGGAAAGCAACAGGCTAGCTAGCAGAGTGTTGCTCTCTAATAAGGTTGGTGCAATATTGTTTTGTTTAGTTTAACCCTGAGAGATAGGGAATCTAATGTCAGTTAGCGCTCAGACGAGCTTGGTTTTTGTTTATAGCGTTTTCTGTTACATTTGTTTTCATTTACTGCTGTATCCTGTGTGAACTTACAAATAAAGTGCCTGGAGTATTTGCAATTACAAGGACTGTGCATGTTTTTGCCCTAGAGGACCGTGCTACCTGCTGACAAGGATCACAATATGGTGGAGAATGCGGGCATAGTAGCACATTGAGGGTCTGTGGGTGTGCCAGTCATTCGGTAGTCTGCTTGAGGACTTTTATTTTTGCAGACCTGTTAAGCAAACAAGTAGCACTGTACCTTTAAGACTGTTACCTGCTTGGTGCTATAATGGAGGACCTGCTGAGAGCTGTGGTACAGGCAACCGCTAAACAACACGGCACAAACAGTTTCCTTGCTGCAGAGGTTAAGAACCTGAGGGACGCTCAGCAGGAGCATAGAGCTGCCATTACTGAGGTATTGCAGATTGCCCCCTGCAGGGAGCATGGGGACAAGGGACCCTGTAACCAAGCTACTGACATCCTGCATGGGATGACAGAGGCAGTAGAAGAAGTCTTCAGCAAGCTGAAAAGCATGGAGGCAGCAAAGCGTGCAGTTGAGAAACACACAGGAGAGAAAGAACAGGAATTAAAAGGCAAGAAGGATGAAATTGAGCCTGAAAGAAGTGATAAAATGGAAGAGGGTGAAAAGCCAGCTGGATCCTCCAAGGAACAAAAAGAAAAAAAGTTAGTAAAGAGTCCAGCAAAGCTAAAGGAGAAAGCGGAATTGCCAAGAGGCAGTGATGGCGACACTGATGACATGCGCCAAAGTAAGAAAGGTCAGAAGAATCAGAAAGGAGAAAAAAAGACTGTGGCTGAGGCCAGCAGTGTCAAGCCGGTTTGTGTAATAAAAAGTGAAGCAGAAGCCGCTGATGTACACCCAAGTGAACAAGTCAAAGGCATGAAAAGCAGACTGACTTGGGGAGTCAGAGAAGACAACAGTAAAGGAGCTGAGCAAAATGAAGAGAAGCAAAGTACTCCAGTTGAGTATAACAATGTGATGCGCTGTTTAGTAGCAGAGGCTACCCAAAAATGTCGACCAGCTGTTGAACAGTTTGGCAGAGAAAAGCATGGCAGAGAAGTAGTGGCAAAACAAAGTCAAAACAAGAAAGGCAAAGTAGCCGCTTCTGATCTAAGCCAAGAGAGAGCGACAGTTACAGAACCAAGCTGTGATGATAAGATGGGCACGTCGGCAGCTAAGCCAGACCAAGGCGAACGTCACAAAGTAGGTGACATTGGCATAGCAGAATTAAATATTTCAGAGACACCTGGTATAGCTACAACGACTTTGAATGATTGTTCGGGAGCCATAGAACTGGAACTGCTGGCAAAGACTACTGCTACAAGGTCTGGGCGCACTAACTACCTCGAACAGCTGCCAGATTCTGGGAACACAGTCATGGAATTAAAGGCGGGACTCGGACTGCCTGACCGGCTGTTTGATACCGGGGCTGTCATGATCCAGCGAGAGGCCATGACTGCGTCTCTGGACACCCCCAAGGGAACAGGGAGACCGCCAGACAGCCCAGAGGAAAGCATTGCTGACATTGAGAGGTGGCCACTCAAGGCTGAGCAAGCAGAGGAAACCAGGCAAAGGAAAGATGAGCTACGCCGGGAGTCTGGGCCTCCGGCACAAGAACAGCGCTCCATACGAGACCAGACTGAGAAAAAACTCAGATGCTTCAACTGCCACATGCAAGGACATATTGCATATAACTGTCCTGAGAGTGAAGAGCCAATACAATGTGACATAGGAATAACGGCTCTGCATAGGATTGTATTGACTTGCTTAACTGTGACTTGATCTCTTAATTTCTCTGCCCATGGGTGGCTATTGAATTTATATATGTTTCCGTGTTAGGCAGTCTCTGGCTCTCTGCCTCTGCAGGCACTGCAGTATTGGTGACTCTGTGTCACGGCTGCTAGTGTGGTCCAACACGCATAAACTATGTAAACCTATACAAAGAAATAAGAAAGGAAATAAAAGCATAGAACGTAAACCGGACCTGAAAATGGCCGGACTAATACGTTGGAGACAGAGAATGGTCAAAGGAAAAGCCGAGGTCAAGGAAGCCAGAAATACACAATACCGTTTCAACAAGCCAAGTCAGGGGAAACAGAAATCGGAATAGCCAAGATCAGAATACCAGAATATGAATATCACGAAGAAAAACGCACTCAGGAAACCAGGAACGAGAAACCACGACAGGGCAAGGTACTGGGGTGAGTTAGGGATTTAAATGTCCCTCTCTAGGCTCTGATTTGACAGAGGGTGACCTCTGACTCCAGAACGTGCGTGCGCATTGATGTCGTGACGTCACGCGCACGTTAATATAATTTTAGGGGGTGGAGCCATGGATGGACGTGACCTCATGGTCGGCGCCATCTTGGATTTCCCTGAGTGGCGTGGAGGAGCGGTTCCTGGCTTGCCGCTGAGCAGGTAAGCTCAGTGAGTTGGTGCGGTCATGTCGGTCGGGCACAGACGCACATGGCGGCGAGCCGGGGGCCGTGATACTCTGGTATCCGGTGGGTCCCTTATGGATATTCTCCTAACCGCAGATCGGTCTAGTTTCATGCGTTTTATTTTTGCCCACGCTCCAATGTTTCTTTTGCATTTATGTCTGGGCATTAAAATCGCAAATATGAAGCCTCCTGTCTTGCCATAAAATTATGGATTATTCTAGCCTTGGTGAAGTAATAATCTAAATTTTATTAAAGACAGGAGGCAAATATTTCACCTCTCTCCCTGCCCCCACTGTTTGTTTTGACGTTTCCCTCCCTGGATTGTTGATTATTTGGGGGGTATTTGTTGTGATTTTGTATTGTTTCTTTCATGTGTTTGGTTGAATTTTACTGTGATTTGGTGCTAGTTACCTGTTTGAGTTTATTCATTATGGCTTAACCTACTGCAGTATTAATGTGTTTTGTATGACATTCTGCCTTGGCAGTTTACTTTCATGATTTTTCTTTTCACTTGCAGTATAGTCGGGATTTCTTCTGGTTCTGGCGGTTTCTCGTTTGGTTGTACCTTCTACATATTGACTCAGTTGGATTTCATGCTCTCCTGCTCCACCCCATCAAAGAAAGAGGAAATGGGATGGTCTGCCTGATAGTTTTATCGTACTTTTGTTCTGATTGGTTGTTTCTGAAAAGTTATGTTAACTATTTCTTTGCTGGAGGTTTCAGTAAAGAAGGTAAAGCAACTTTTCTTTCAGGAAGTGTTCCGGAGGATTGGAGGAAGGCAGATGTGGTTCCTATATTCAAAAAGGGTTCAAAATCCTTGCCTGGAAATTATAGACCTGTGAGCTTAACTTCTGTGGCTGGTAAAATATTTGAAAGGTTATTAAGGGATAAAATCCAAGATTTCCTTGAGAAGAAAATGGTTATCAGCAAAAATCAGCACTGTTTTATGAAGCACAGGTCATGTCAAACTAACTTGATTGTATTCTACGAAGAAGTAAGTAGAAGTATAGATCAGGGTGTTGCAGTGGATGTGATCTATTTGGATTTTGCCAAGGCATTAGATACAGTTCCACACAATAGATTCGTTTTCAAACTCAAGGAAATTGGTCTAGATGAAAATGCTTGTTCTTGGGTAGAACATTGGCTTAAAAACAGAGTACAAAGAGTTGTCATTAATGGTAAATTTTCAAGCTCGACAGAGGTGGCAAGTGGTGTCCCTCAGGGGTTTGTTCTGGGACCCCTTCTATTTAACATGTTTATAAATGATCTTGAAGACAGCTTTGAAAGTCATGTTTCATTGTTTGCAGATGACACAAAACTTTGTAAAATAATACAATGTGAGCAAGATATTACTTTGCTGCAGAAGGTATTTAGATAGACTGGGGGACTGGGCACTCAAATGGCAGATGAAATTTAATGTTTAAAAATGCAAAGTTATGCACTTCAGCGTAAAGAATACACAAGCAACGTATACCCTTAATGGAAGCGAATTAGGGATAACAAGACATGAAAAGGACTTGAGAATTGTTATAGACAACAAACTATGCAACAATGTGCAATGTCAATCAGCAGTGGCCAAGGCCAGTAAGGTATTGTCATGCATGAAAAAGGGCATTCATTCTCGGGACAAGAATATCATTTTGCCTCTTTAAAAATCACTGGTAAGACCACATATTGAATATGCTGTGCAATTTTGGGCACCTGTTCTAAAGAAGGATATTATGGCACTAGAAAAAGTGCAGAGACGGGCTACAAAATTAATAAAAGGAATGGAAAATATCAGCTATGAAGAAAGGTTAACAAATTTAAACCTATTTAGTTTAGGAAAACGTTGCCTGAGAGGGCATATGATAACATTATACAAATATATTCGGGGCCAATACAAACCATTGTGTGGAAATCTATTCACAAACCGGACTTTACATGGGACACAAGGTCATGCGTTTAAACTGGAAGAAAGAAGCTTTAGTCTAAGGCAAAGGAAAGGTTTTTTTTACTGTAAGAACAATCAGGATGTGGAATTCTCTGCCTGAAGAAGTAGTTTTATCAGAGTCCATACAGATGTTAAAACAGCTACTATTTGCGTACTTGCAAAAACAGAATATTCAAGGATATAATCTTTCAATGTAGGGTAATAACTGCTTGATCCAAGGATAAATCTGACTGCCATTCTGAGGTCAAGAAGGAATTTTGTTCCTAGCTTGTTGCAAAATTGTGCTTCAAACTGGGTTTTTTTGGCCTTCTTTTGGATCAACAGCAAAAAACAAATGTGAGGCAGGCTGAACTTGATGGACGCAAGTCTCTTTTCATGTAACTATGTAACTATTCACCTCCTGTCTTTAAAAAAAAATTAGATTATTCCTTCACCAAAGCTAGAATAATCCCTAATTAATATTGTATTCACTGTACAGGTTTCGGCCCATTTGGTGAACATGAGTTGAATAGTAGTTGGGTTGCTGTGCAGGTGAGTGATGACCGTTTAATTGTCATAACATTTCATATCATAGAACATTGAATGTGCAGTAAATACTCAACTGGTTATTTAAAATTTCATCACAAAAAACAACCAATATGATGAATTTGTAAATAACCAGTTCAGTAGCAGTGGCTCTGACTAATTTAAAAAGTGAAAAACTATTGTAGCATGTTCCTTTTTAAAATTAAAATTACAGAGGAGAACATTTTGATATTGCTATAGATGCTGCTTGAATGTTGTTCCCAGAGTAAGGATAGTTGGTTAACGAGTAAAAAAAATAATGCTTTTACGATCACTTATTCTGCGATTTAGTGCATATGTGATATTTTATTATGTATACATAGGTTCCTTCAATCCCTTAAACATTTCTAGCTTTTTAAGCCATTTTGGATTTCTCCAAAATCTTTTCTCACCCTTTGTTTTAAATGAGTTTTATTTTGTTTGCAGTTAGATCGCTTGCATAATGCGAAAGGCATAGATTAATGCGATATTACCCACGCAGGGGTTCAGTTTTTGCATAGACTTAGGATAATGGATGCACATGTGCCTGCGCAGAGGCCAAGTACGGTTATTCAAAACAATATCTGTCATCTGTATATTCCATGCTTATAGTATCTGGATTACGGATCTGCGGTGCACATCGCCTACTCATAATAACATTAATCTCATGCAGAGCAAGATATAAGCATCATGTAACTTAACATAGAGAGCATTTGATAACCGTCAATGAGGCATACACATTACATCATGCAGATAGAATAGGCGCAGCATGCGAGGTGATCGTGTGTGTGTTCTGCAGGCTGAGAGGCTAGTTGTCGGGGAAAAAGTAAAGCACAGTTCCGCGTGCCTGGGTGTGCATTTGTACCTATTTTTTTGTGCACTCAGGGTAAGCCTGGTGCGCTTAATGTGTTCAAGATATGTATCGCATGCACGGTGTCCAGTGGCCTGGGCGTGCCCATTAAAATAATAAATCCGCAGTCAGTGGCTATGTGCTATAGTACCTGGTGACAATGCGTGAGAAAAGTGCCAGCTTTAATTGTGTATTTTGGCAGACGTCCACTGATTTATATAGGGCGCAGCTCGCGGGGAGAGGGCTTTAACTGTTTAAATCAGCCTGTGTATAGCGCGCTGTGCTGAAGCCTCATTAACGGTCACAAAAGTTATAGCAATGCATTCAAAAATGCCTAACCGTTATACACCCAGGTAGCGGTCAGAGCAGGTTTTCATAATGGGCGAGCTTTATATAGTTAATATTGTAATATGCCTCATTCAACAACAGTTAGCTAAGGCCCCTGAGGGCAACGTAAAGCAATTAATAACTTTTTTGTGCATATTAAAGCAACAGCATACACTAACTAGAGTAGAAGGCTCACAGGTGTTCTGTCCGCATAACAGGTTATTATTGTGGAGCTTCTCATGCATTCAGTCATCCCCTGCACCCCGACCACGCCACTTGAGCCCCAGATGGTCGGGGTGAAGGCCGTCCTGTGTCTCACCCTTCTCCGGCCACTCTGGGTAGGCGCCAGCCTCCCAACAGCCTCCGGTCCGCCGGGGGCTGCCGCGCTCCCCTCTACGAGGGCTCACAGCGTCGGGGACAGCTGCCTCCAGGCCCTCCTCAAAACCTAAAGGTGATGGCACTTCGGTCTCCGCAGGGCACAGTCCCAGGGTCGCGGCATCCAGCCAGCGGGCCCCAAGGATCCCACCTGCCTCCCCCGCCCACGTGCATCGCCTCCAGGGCCCCACTTCACCTGCAAGTGTTACATCCATGGGACAGCTTCTGAAGGCAAGGCAGGGCTCTTGTAGGCCGTTAAGTCCAGGGTGCATGTTGATCTTGTAGCATAGGCAATAATCGTCCCTTAACTTATATCAGGCGGGCTGCAGTTCGGCAGCCAGTGTCCGTGCAGGAGGCAGCCAGTTCCGGGTGTGCAGCCTCCATGTGGCCGGGATTACCCCCCATCGGCCGGGGTGGGGGGAGGAACGGGGCCGCAGCTCTCACCAGTGTAAATCTCCACCAACTTCCGCATAGCTGGTGTGCTTGTTCCTCCGGCCAGGCAATCAGGCGTCTGTTCTTTGTCTGCAGCTGTCCTCATGCAGGCAGGTGTGTAGGCCGGGTTCATCAGTCTCGGTGTTCCCCGTGCATTTTTGGCCGTAGTCTGGTATCATATGGGTGCTTGGGTAGTACCCCATTGCATTGTAGCATGTAATTCGGCCCTGGTGCAGGTTGTGAGCGAATTTTATGCCGTTGTTTAGGGCTTAAGCTCGAAGCCACGTTGCTCTGCTGCCATGCTGCTTGGCGGCCCCGCCCCGCCCCCCTGAATTGGATTTGGATTGTGTTTGCACCTTTTTTTTTTTTGTGGCAGTTTTTGTTATCTTTCATGTTTTTAAAATAAGACTAATGAGTACTGGTAGAAAAAAAGATATTTGTGACAGGAGTTTTACCTTGGCATCCCTGATGTCATCAACAAAGAGGCACCTCCTATTTAGTTGGAAACCTAATCTATTGTAAGGTCATCTGTGGTTGTTTGCAGTTTACATCACTTCTTGTGTTTATTTCCAGCAATTGTAGATTATGCTAGCTTTAGTGTACCTATAAGCTTAATTTTATTAATGACAAGAGGCGAGTATTTGCTTAAGTCTGTCTTTAGTAGAACTCCACAGCAGCACAGAAAAAAGTTAGGTGCTATAAAACTGCCCTCCCCATGCATCATTTCCTCTCTCAAGCTGCGAACAAAACAGAATAAAGGCAGAAAAACATAATGGGGAAGAAACAAAATCATAGATATGATGAATACAACAATGTCCACTCTCCGAGAAGAACTGCCACACCAGATTGCGTTGATGGACTTTAAACTGAAACGAAATAAAAACAGAATCGAACAAGTTGATTATCCAATGAAATGTACTCTGAATAAACATGTAGGTACCCAGTGTTGCAACAAACTTAACTTAATATGTAGATATCCCAACCCTACTTATGAAAAACAGACATAAGAAACAAGTGACAGGTAGCAGAGACAACAAGCAGAGTTGCATACGTACCTGATTAATCCAAACTATTAAAATTAAACAAGGAAGGGATAAGAACGGGTGGGAAATACTCGCCTCCTGTCATTAATAAAATTAAGATTATAGGTACACTAAAGCTAGCATAATCTACAATTTTATAACATGACAGGAGACTTCATATTTTCTGTTTTAATGCTCAGTCAACAAATCCAACGCTGTTTGTTTTGCTGGTACTTATTCCGGGAGATATCAGAACAATCCTAAATGAACTTTCCTACTGCGATAAATGACAGTAGACAGATCGATTAAGATGCCAGCTGACGAAGCATCCCAAATACGGAAAAAAACACCATCGGCTGATAGATCCATTGTATGTGGGGTTGCGACCTGTTTCCTAGCAGTCGGTCCATGAGCTGCCAAGCTGCCCTATTAGCCATTTTCCTGTAGTTGTAAAATGGTGAAGGTCATTTGCGGACTTAGGGGCGAAGAAGGAACTGCCACCATGTCTCATCTCTTGATGTGGCTCCTCCGATTGTGCCAGGGTCATCCGGCGATGTGGCCTTGCAGGTAGATCTCCAATCTCAAGGAATGTGCCACCACCAATTCCATAATAGAACCGAGTAGGATCTTTCATTCCCTCCTGGCCTATCCGGTGAGATGACTCATCCGAGAATAAATTTATTATGCAGGCAAGAGTGTGGTCAAACTAGCCGTATCCTAAGTGATTCCAATATTCCAAATGGACTGTGCAATCCTCGATTGCGATAGAGAAAAGACTCCAAAAGGACTTCCAATCAGGGTCCCAAACTGAACTTGTGTGATGGAATAGTGAATCTATTCTGGGAATAGTGAATCCCAGAAATATTCAAAGGGATGGGAAACGTAAATCGGAGTTGAGATTCCCATCCAGATGTCATCGTCTAGACTGAAAGATTGATAAGACATACGGATCCAATGGTGATTGGGACCTGTATAAACACTGAGTCCTCACGTGCTGTAGTGAGAGAGTGAGATAATCCGATTACCCGTACTACGATCTTGTTCCATGCCCGACCTGTCAAAATTTGTGTAGGGGTTCCTTGTCTACACGCCACCTACAAGACAGGGTAGGTCCCTGTACCCCTGACTGCCCGGGGGTACGTATCTCCCAGAGTAGGCCCCGCGTCAAGTTACCCAGGAATGTGAGTTCGATAACCGAAGTCAAGGTCTCCCTATAGAGGGATACCTCCCTTCTTAGCTTGGAGTCCCGCAAACACATAGCGTTCTCCAATACGCAGGCAAGGCGTAAAGTCCCTTCGCTCACGACAGGTGACTCCAGAGAGCAGATATAACATGTGTTGTCCCGTATGAGAATGTAGGCAGCCCTATCTGAGTCTGCTACACATCCTGAGCCGTACTCCAGCAGTATGTTGCGACCCTACTTTGACGTCCGTGTAGGAGTTGGGGCACACCGGGTTCCTCCATAGAGTCTCGTAGGTCTTCTTGTTGGTAGTTGAAAAGGTGGGTTAGCGAGAACCCAAACCAAGACGGCTCCCGTGAGGGATATAGAGTATAGACGGAGGGCCCTCCATCTCCGAACCATGTCCTCGTGATATGTGCCAAGAGGAGTAGGGGCAGTCCTGTCATTACCAGATTGTAATGACCAGGTAACTTAAGTCAACCAGGGTTTCCGATCTTTCCATGTGATCCCTGCAGACCGGGTAGTGGGCCTTCCCTAGTCTTGTTACCCGAGCAAGTCAGTGCCCGTTTGCTCCATGAAGGTCTCAGTATCTCATGTCATCTTGATATGGGAAAAACTGTCTGCGCAGTTTGCTCCGGATATCTAAAACAGAATGCAATTGTATGTTTTATATAGCGCAGAATTTACCAACACCTGCACTCTTGTAATACCTGATGATCATCTGTTAGCCGTACCGTCTCCAGGAGTGTGTGTAAATAAGTGAGAGTCTTCCCTGTTATACCTCTGTGAGTATTTCTCGCGTGTGGTACAGTGGTCTGGATCCAGTAGATCCATTACAGGAGGTGAAAAAGACGGATCCAGTCTAAATATGTATATCCTGCCTGATCAGGCAGCACTCTATAACGAAATCGGTAGCACGGTCGTTGGGTCTAATTGAATGCAGGAGAGACGCCCCTCAATGCAGTCATTGTTGTCCTGTACAGGTACAAGCCTGTGTGATGAACAAATGGACGACACTGTAGTGCGTTGAGTGTGTGAGAGAGCCGCGCCCTCTAATAATGTGACCGAACTCTGTGTCAGCGTCCGACTGATAGTCTGAGCGGGCCGCCCCCGTTAATAACCAAATAGCAGAGTCTACATCCCTGACCGGTTCTCTCTACGAGAATGTGTCACTCAAAACATGTCCTCTGTATCCAACTCCGTATCGGGCTGAGGTTGAGGGAGGGTCGCGCCCTCCAATAACAAATCAGTGTCCAGTTCCGTATATGAGAGGAGTTTGCTCTCACCATTTACTAATATCAGCATTAGACTGAGATCCTGAGGTGGGTCTCTCTCTCACCACAAGACCTCTCTCTGAATCACTCACCTGAGATGGAATCAACTGTTAATAAACCAGACCGATGGAAGATGGAATAGTATACAACCTCAGGTCGTGTTCACCCTTAATAACAGAAAGGAATGGTGAGAGAATGCAAACTTCGGAAACAATGATGGAAACTACCAACTTCCCGCTCGCGGGATCCAGGATGACCGTCGGTAGCCTGAGGAAAGTTGTAGACGTTCTATGCAATCCATGAGAGCCCGGGAGGTCGGAGGAGGTCAAGTCAGGCCTCTCGACGACCCGAGCGATAGGACAATTGGAAGGCTTGAAACCAAGAAACGACAAAGTAGATAACGGTAAATACGTACCTCTGAGAGAAGGTAAATAGCAGATCTGAACAGCAAGCCAAGTAAACCCAACTGAAAGGGTCAGGAGCTAAACATGACTAACTACTAAGATGGATACCGGAAAGGCAGTTAGATGGTTAGTTGTTGAAGGCAAAGCAACCGTGCTCCCCTGCGTCTGAGCACTGGTCCCTGCTTGTGCGAAATTCTCTTTGGAGATGTGCCGCCGAGTTGGTGTAAACCGTGGTGGTGCGCCCTTGGATCCTCATAAAAAACCTTGCCCCTCAGGGCCTGAGGTTTAGGGCCTTCATCCCTCCAATCATAGTTAGGTGCCCGTATACTGGTGTCCTCTTGGATAGTAAGGCAGCAGTGCTTGCCTGGACACACACTAATTGTAACAGATGGCATGGAGCTGTCTTCAAAGGTTGTGTTAAAAATTTAATTAGTCTGTTTATTCTCCTGTATAGATAGATTGTATCTAGCATTAGTCTAATTGTTCGGTAGTTCCAATCCATATTCCATACGAATGAAAACTACCGAACCATTAGACCACCCCAGAGAGAAGTGTGCACCTTATTAGGATTTCACACTTCTCTAACCGCAGGTTAATTGATGCAATCGGTATTTTGTATACGTATCTGGGTGGCCGCCGTTCAGCATACGAACACGTGGCAGCGGCCATCTTACGAACGAAAAACTCAGCGGTGTTTGGTCGTCGAGTGTCTGGAACTCAAATGGGACACTCAATCACCCGAACACTGCTGAGACCTCCATAGCTCTGTAACTCCCGAACGGAGGGGCCAACCAGCCCCTCGTTCGGTGAATTAAAAGTACCGCACAAGGGTGTTCATATGAATACCAATTTAACAGTGGATGGCATATTTTTATGTATTTTATCTCCTGAACAGACCGCAGGGCCAAAATACATGGAGCCCTTTTCGGATTCCACTTCATGTTCGGTCGGTCAAATTGTCTCTTCCACCTAACTCCTGAACCCCTGGTCCTATCTGGGTGAATTTTGAATATGTAGGTCACCGAGATCAGGGCTACCAGGGGGTACCACTTAGACCGCAGGGCCAAAACACATGGAGCCCTTTTCGGATTCCACTTCATGTTCGGTCGGTCAAATTGTCTCTTCCACCTAACTCCTGAACCCCTGGTCCTATCTGGGTGAATTTTGAATATGTAGGTCACCGAGATCAGGGCTACCAGGGGGTACCACTTAGATAATTGTACCTGACTGTTTTGGGGTACATCTAGAAACCGGGTAAAACTGTAGCATGTATAAGTGGATTATGTGTTACACTGAGGGGAGGAGATGTATGAGAGGTAACTATTATACTATTAGTTACTGTACAAATTAATGTAAATCCCTCCCTTGCATGGGAGAATGCTTTAAAAGAAGGTTGTGTGGTTAAAAGTTCAGTTCTGCTCCTGATGCTGTGTGTCGTCCAGTCATTGGGATTGATGTGGGGATATTATTGGATTGTTTTGCTTGCTGGAATTATTGCCTTATGGACTTTTAATGCTTGTTACTTAGCCTTACTGCCACGTGGAGGAAAAGATCCGGCCGCAGGGTACTCGTGCTCGCTAGCAAGTACCCCTGTGACCGGGTAGAACAAACGGGACCCACGTGGTCCATGGGCGGAGACGGCTGCGGCGAAGCAGACACATGGGAAAAGAAGATCTGGCCGCCGGGTGCTCGCGGTCGCCCGCGAGTACCCCGGCGACCGGAAAAAAACACACAGGACCATCGGAGATGAACTCTGCTTTCCTGGATCTCAGGGGAACGGAGGAGGCAAACGCTTTGGTCAGCCTCCTGAAGACCCCAAGCGGCACACCAACCGCCAGTAATAAAACAAAGGCAGATAACACAATAGAAACGGAAATATACAGAGTGGGAAAAACGGACAGGGAGGCAAGATCAAGGGGATAGAGGCCAACAATATAGATGAAGAAACCGTGATATCCTGAAGTTACAGGCACTTAAGAAAATCCCACAAGGACTATAACAGTATTGCATTTACAGGAATAAAATCCCACAAGGATAAAACCTACTGCATTATAAGAATAAAATCCCACAAGGATAAAACCTACTGCATTATAAGAATAAAATCCCACAAGGATAATAACAATACTGCATTGTAAGAATAAAATCCCACAAGGATAATAACAATACTGCGTTATAAAATTAAAATCCCACAAGGATAATAACAATACTGCATTATAAAAATAAAATCCAGCAAGGATTAGAACAATACTCATTATAAGACTAAAATACTGTATGTAAGCAATAAACCCCAAAGCCACCCACTAGAAGCAGGAGGCAGTGGTACTGCCTGGGGAGGGGAGTTTTATAGCACCTAACTTTTTTTCTGATTGTTTTTTCTGTGCTGCTGTGGAGTTCTAGTAAAGAGAGACTTCAGCAAATACAAAGCCTCCTGTCATGTTATATATATAACTCCGCCTACTATATCCAACCCACATAATTAATCTCTGCCTACTTATCAGTGCAGGTTACAGGGTCTACTCAATAAAGAGAGAATTAAAGGGAATTGTAAACTTAAGACCAAAGTAGCAGAGTTGAGAACATTCTCCCATGCAGCTGCACCATTTTGACCTAAAGTTTTAAATTACTGTTAAGACACCCCTGGCACAAAGGAGTGAAACTGCCATTTAGTAAAGCTTCCCCTTTCGCAATAATGCAAACTCCATTTGTATAGACTCCAACCATACGAACTGCAATCAGGGGAAGGTGCCAATCTCCCGAATGGGACCCGTATGGGTGCTCCAACTCCCGAACGGTAAACCCACGAATCGCCACTAACAGCCGAATAAATATATCCTCCAAGCTGCTTACGCTTCTGGCAATCAGTCTCTAACCGCGTGTAGTAAACTATGCCGGAAGGAAAACTAAAAGACCATGCCCTCTCATATAACCAGTTCATACTACTAATCACTACTTGGGAGGTAATGCATACAAATGTTGCCTGTTGAGACAGAGGACAGAGAATGTAGCAAATAAAGTTACCCTCTCTTCTCCTAATGGCAACAATGTTTCAGTAGTGGTGACACATAACCAAAAACTGCACTTAGAAGAAAGAGAGGTATGAGAAAGCCAGTACTATATGAATCCTGCACAAAGCACAAATTCCCCACTGAGTTGACCAGACACCTAAGAGAAATCCGACCTGTAAATCTCTAATATTCAGTGATGAAGTGCCTATCCTTACTGGGAATTACCTAGGATACACAGAATAAAAGAACCCCTGTTAAGATCATGCACATTGCACCAGTCTTCAAAGTAAAAGAAAATAAAAATGTCTCCTGCTAAGCCGAAAGCAGCCTCATCAGGTTAATGATGCCTGTGACGAGACCAATCTCGCCACATTGCATTGGAGAAGCCTGGTTGCTCGCCTGCTGCCTTTGGACTATGGCCCCCTGTTAAAAGACATCTTTTTTTTACCTGCAGAAAAGTTTAATTCATGCTTTTCTGCCTGGGGTTCGGTAGATTTGTTTGAATGTGTTATACCCCAGATAGGAATCCCATGGAGCCCATTTGTATGAAACTGACTGTAAAGACTTTGGCTCCATGGCGATTAAACTGTATTCGTGTGGTCTGAGCGCCATTGGCTTAATAATGTGCGCTCAGACCTGAGCTATCTGGGGATATGTTACATGTCTGTGTTTTATGTATAAAAGGTGACTTTATGTATTTTAAAGTGTTTTGTGTCTTTTTGCAACCATGTGCTTAATGGAGTCTTGTGTCTGTCCTGGGAGATAATTGAATTACTTATCTCCAGGATAGAAGACTCTGAAACTGGTTTGGGCCAGAAAGCCATGCTTCATTTAGTCACAAAGGACTTTCCCTTAACTTTTGAACCCCTGGTCTGATTCGTGCCATTTTTTAATATGTTGTTCCCCTGAATGGATTGATTGTGAATATGTAATTTTATGTGAATGTGATGTATGGTTTTAGAGTTATGAAAGTTGGGTAGAAAGTATGTTTTAACTGTATATGTAATTGAGTTTCCTCTCAGGATAAGGGGAGGGAATATGTGGGATGTAACTGTGATGTGATTGGTTGTTTTATACCTCCCTGTGGGCGGTCCTGTATTTGTAAGACTGTAATAAAAACCAGGCTGGGTGTGCCAGCACCTCAGACCACTGCTTGACCCTCAACACGGAGCCTTGTCTCGTTCTTGGGGGGATTCACTGTATGCTGTTAGAGACTGATTGCCAGGAGTGTAAGCTGATTGTCTGCTTTTCCTGTTCATCTGCTAGCAGCTATTTGGGAGGTTTCAGTTCGGGAGTTGGAGTGTTATTTTGTATCCAGTTCGGGGGTTTGGTGTTCTGCAGTAGCTGTGCCTGTATCTCTGGAAAGGGGGCCGATCGCCTAAACGGTTTTTACCCCTTGTGTGCAAAACGGTCCGTTACAATGCCTGTTAGTATGAAGGGCATGCATAAAGGCTAGCGCTAGCGATACGTCCCCCAGAGATCCTAAAGGTTGCTGGATTGAATGAAAAACAGTCTCTAGTCCGCTGCTACTAACCGCTAGCTGCCTCCCAAATCTGAGACTAACTAAATGATTCTTCCTTGCGAAGTCCTACATAAATGCGCCCAACACCACACCAAATACAAAGTGAACAGATAGCTTAGAAGATGCCCGATGCGTGTTTCGGCACTGCTAGAGTGCGCCTTCGTCTGGGGCTAGTGTAAATCACCCCCGCCCCCCCCTCCAGACCCTTTTTAAATATCGGCGCCAAATTACAAATACACGCCCCTAAAAGTATAGTCCGCTAATTGGATTGTAGTGGGGGCGTGGAAAGTAGCTCAATGTCTGACCCTTTGTTTAGATATACCGGGGCAAGCAATATAATATCCAAATGAGTGAAGTCACGTGTACAGCTCTTCCAGGGGATATGAATCGTCAAGAGACCACACATTGTCACAATATATTTATGACAAAGGTCCCATTCAGTGATACCACTAAAGCCCTCCCAGAGAAATATGTTTCTCTGAACCTTGGAGATGCTATCAAAAGGAGTAGAGTTTACACAAACTACAATGAAAATGTATCAATCAAGCAATTATATTTCATTATATGTTCAGTCATAAGAACATTAGAAAAAAAGGCCAAAGATAGATGGCCCCATCCCTCATTTTTGGTTAAACCGGCAAGGTAATAGAAGTGAAAGTGGTATCATGTGTAAGCTTTCATATGTGAGTGTCTCCAATGTGGTTAAAGAAATAATGTAAAAATATACCATCTTGGTTAACCCTTAGGGTATGGGACAAAAATGGATGTCAGCAATTTATTGCTGCAAGTGTGTGCTGAGGTCACAGGTGTCATGCTAGATATTCCAAATGTGACCCTTCTCAGAGAATGCAACACAGATCCTGGTGGTTGCAGTACACATGTCCTAAATGTGTCTAAAATGTTTACATTATATAATGTCTATCATTTTAAATAGTAAAGGAGATGTGGCAAAACTAGCCACTTAAGACTATCCATATATTGAATGTGTTTATGTAACAGAACTATGCTGTATGCCTGGGCCAGTGAACTAACCAAAATCAGCAGGAATTCGTCACATTTAGTGCATTTCAACCATTCGAATGGATTCGCATGAATTCCCTGTGTAAAGTATAGGTGGCCGCCATTTCGGGACTTTACACGTGGCCGCGGCCATCTTACGTGCGAACAGCGGTGTTTGCCTGTCGACGCGTGGAACTAAAATCGGATACGCAAACAGGCGAACACCGCTGAGTCCTCCATACTTCCAGAAGTTCGCACGGAAACTACCGAATCACCGGACGTTCGGTAGTTATGTTCAATCATCTATGGGGATTGCGGCGAACCCCGAGATTCGAATGGATGGCAAGAATTTCAGACCTTTTTACCAGGCGAACGGAGACCGACCGCAAGGCCAAAACTCATGGAACTATTTTCGGCTAGTTGGTCTGTGCGGTCGGTCAAAACTTTGGAACTCTGTATCTCCCGAACTATTCATCCGAATGGGCTGATTTTTGGACATGTTGGTCCCCTGAATGAGAGCTATCAAGCGACCCCGGATTTAAAGCTGTACCCCCTGTTTTTGGGGAACATCCAGAACTGGGGTAAAATGTTGTACGTTTTAATTATGTTATATGTTATCTGAGGGGAGGAGACGTGGGGGTGTTACCAGGTATATGATTGGGTGTTTTTATCCTCCCCCTGGGAGTATCCTGTGTGTACCTGATCCCAATAAAAGCAGGCTGGGTGTTCCAGTCCTCAGATCTTCTTGACCCTGCAAAACGTAGCCTTGTCTCGTTCTTGGAAGGGGATTATTTGGGAATGTTATTCTGCTCCTGCTACAGCTGAACCTGACTTTTACTCTGGATATCGTGAATGGGATTATACCAGCTTACTTCTCCACAGCAGCTTGCAGGGAAAAAGGACGTCTCCAACGGCCGATACCCTCTCTCTACCAGGGTAGCCGTTACATTGGTGGCAGCGGTGGGATGGTCCTTTTATCCAGAGAACAAGTGCTGAATGGAGGCTCAGTACGTCAAGCTGAAAAGACCCACATTAAAGGATTTATTGGAGAGTCGTGGTAGGAGTGCCAGCAACAGACCACGGAGGGAGCTGATAGCTGACCTACTAGAACTGGACGAAATGGATAGGTCCATGGAGGTAACAGAACCTCTTGCACCTGTCAGCGAGGACGATGAAATTTCTGCCATTGTACAGCGGAGATTAGCTTGGTATCCAGAAAGATCCACGGAGCTAATAAACCAGCTGCTCCGGGAAACAAGGGAGGAGATACAAACTAAGAGGGGACAAGAAGCGGAACTGGTAAGAGCTAGACAGCCCATTACACAGGCAGTTCCTACCCCCCCACCCGCTGCTACAGGGAGGAAAATACCGTTCACTGCATTTAAAGCGTTTGTAGAGAATGAAGAAGAAATTGACGGATATTTAGCGGACTTTGAGAGACAATGCTCGCTACACCAAGTACCACCAGACCAATGGGTTACTATTCTGGCTGGAAAGCTCTCAGGAAAAGCAAATGAGGCTTTTCGGGCACTTACTACGGAAGATATAACGCAGTATCAACGGGTGAAAGCTGCACTACTCACCCGATATGCGGTCACCCCAGAAGCATATCGCCGTCGCTTCCGGGAGTCCAAAAAGAAGGCAGTGGACTCCCACATGGAATGGGCAAACAAGATACAACGGGTGGCAACACACTGGGTGCGAGGGTGCAATGCTAACACCGGAGAAGAAATATTACAGTTGTTCCTGATGGAACACTTCTTTCAAGATCTGGCTGCAGATATACAGGACTGGGTCAGAGATCGGCGCCCTGCCAATTTAACTGAGGCAGCGCGACTAGCAGATGAGTATGCAGAGACAAGGAAGGTGAGCCAAAGTAACACACGACCAGCCCCTAGAGCAGAGGCCCGCACTACAACCTACCCTGCACGCACAGAATTTCGGGCCCCAGTACCCCCAGGGCCTCCACGTCCCCAGGGGCATAACAACCATCCCCGGGAATCTTACAAAGTAACGTGCCATCGCTGCGGCAACACAGGACATATTGCCCGGTATTGCCCGTTGGGATCAGCCAATAATAACTGGAGGCGCCCACCTAACACCGAAAGCACACCGCCACGTCCAGCGGCTGCTCACTGCCTAGAAATTGAAGGAAGCCCTGAAGAGTGCCTGGGAATATTATATGAGGCCAACCCCATACAAGCAGCTTCCCCAGATAATCGTCAGCATCACCGTCAGGAGGTGCGTGTGAACGGACAGATAGCACAAGGCCTAAGAGACACTGGCGCTACCATTACCCTAATACAGAAACACCTTGTAAAACCAGAACATGTGTCAAATCGTACCGTGGCTGTTCGTGTCGCAGGGGGAGCTGTTTTTCGCTTACCCA